AAAGCCTGGAAGTGGCAGCTTTAGCTTACACGGCTCTGCAATTGCCCTGCCCTCCATCCAGACATGAGCCCCGAGGCAGGACAGCCGTACAGACTCCACCTGCTGCAGGCCTTGGCCAAATCTTGGGGAGACCCAGACATGGCCCTGCTGCCATTTCTGCAACACGGGGTGCCGACGGGAGCCGTATCAGCTTTGCCACCCAGCCTTCAATGGCCGGCGAAGAAGCCAGACTCCGCCTTGCCGCCAGATCTGGAAATCTGTGAGGGCAACTGGAAAATGGCCGAGGACGAACCAGACACCGTGCACAGCTTGCTGCGCAATGAAATTGCCAACAACTGGATTGTAGAAACCGGCCTTAGCATTGCCGAAGCTCGTGAAAAATGGCCTTTAGGCATTGCCGTAGGAAAACTAAATGTCGTTTTTGCAGAAGGGAAAGAGCCACGCCTTGTCCTGGACAGCACCGTGTGCCAAGTGAATACAAGATGCCATCTGCCAGAGCGCCTCAACCTGCCCATGGCATCAGACCTGGCGCTGTCCACGCAGCCGGAGGACACTCCAGGAGCCTTCGTGGGCGCCAGCATTGACTTCAAAGCCGCGCACAAACAGGTGCAGGTCCGCCCTGAAGAGCATGGCCTTCTGCTATTCGCCTTTCAGGGAAAAATCTATCACTATAGAGTGTGCCATTTTGGAGGCCGTTTCTCAGCATTCTGGTGGCAGCGCGCTGGCGCATTTCTGCTTCGCCAGGTGCATGGGTTGTTGGCTTGGAAGCCCCACAAAGCCTTCCTCTTCGTTGACGACCTTCTGTGTGCACTCTTCCGAGATAGCGCACCAGATATGTTTGCCTTGGTGGTGCTTTTCTTTTGCGCCATTGCGGCGCCAATTTCATGGAACAAGGCTCAGTTTCAGGACAGCCTTGTTTGGTGCGGCTGGGAGATCAACTTCTCGCACGACACCATTCAGCTTGTGTCCGCTAAACTGACCAAGCTGGACGCCTTGATCAAAGCACTGCTGGGGAGCAAACGGGTACTCCGAAAAACACTCGAGCAGTGCATAGGCCTGCTCGTTTGGGCCACAAGCATTGCGCTGCATCTGAGATCCTGGCTAGCGCCACTATACTCGGACCTCAACAGCCCACCAGGCTCGATGCACTCAATACCACCTCAAATGTGGTCTGCCTTCAGAGCATCCTTGAACAAGGATCTCAAAACCAGCCATAGCCTTCCCGGCTTGTGGATCACAGTGGGCTCCAAAATCTTGGAAATTTCAGGTCGCAAATAATCCTTATACCAGCCTTTCCAAGTCAAGCCAGCAATGCCTTACGTGGCTGGCGTTGTGCTTTCAGCACTCGCCCGTTCAGCCCTTAGCACGGCCACACCAGCTGCAAGCACTGGCTGCCGCGGATGCGTGCGCCGAAGACGACTTGGTAGGGATAGGGGGCTGGGCCATCACCTCCTCTCGGTGGTTTGGTTTGCCGAAACCTGGAACATGCAGGACATACGGTCCGTGTGGCCTTGCCTTGTCAAGCCTGGACAGCGGTACATCGCATGTTTCGAGACGCTGGCGCAGTTAGCACTACTGCAAGCCACCCACAGCCACATTGGTGGTGGGCGCTATTCATTCAGCATGCCCTCAGGCACTGACAATTCCGCAACAGAAGCAAGCCTTAACAAGTTGTTCACGACCTCCTGGCCGTTGCAACTCTTCGTGCAGTTAACAGCCTTCTGGGCTCACGCTCGCAATGTGCTGCTGCAGCCGACGCACGTTCCAGGAAGGTGCAATGATTGGGCAGACGATCTCAGCAGAGGTCGGTTGGCCCGATTCAGCCATCGCCCTGAAAGTCGCATACGCTTCAGCGGGCCTAGCAATGTCGGGCCGAGGCATTCAGCTGTGTCCGATTGATGCGCCCTGGCGCCCGGAACACCTGGCAGCTGCTTCCAGCACTGCTTAGCCATGCCCTTTTTTGCATTCTAACATGCATTGCGACCAAATGTTCGCCCTGGCAACCAGCACAACTGGCTGCGACAGCCAGCCGCTTGAAGTCAAGCCGCTCTGACCAAAAAAGTGCGGACACCGAGCAACAGGCTGCTCACAGCCGCAAGCGTGCATCGTCACGCGGACATTTGCCCTGCCAGGTACAACCCCACTCTGAAGGGCGGGTGATGACACTACTCACTTTTACCGGGGTTGCCTGAAACACTGAAGGGGGGGTCAACGCACCTCCTGTTCCAGGCGCACCTGTGCCCTGGAAGCAGTGCTACTTTCAGCAATCCCGGTAAAAAGAACTGCGGCCGCTTCGGACTTGCATTGTTCTTTTGGGTGGTCTTGTTTGGGTTCAAGCTAGGAGCAGTGCAACATGCCTTGACGCTTAGGGTTTTCTTTCCCCTTGTGTTTAGGGCATGTTGTGAATCTACCTACGCGGTGGCCGTTTTGTTCCTAGCCTTGACCCAAACTTGCTGTTTCATTTGAAACCCACCCACCCACCCTGCACTGCCGTATACAAGGCTCTGCAATGAGAAGTTGCAGACGCTCTGCACTTCCGTTCATGGTCTCCGGACCTCTCGGTCTCCGGACCGCTCACGGTCTCCAAACCCTCTAGGTCTCCGGAACGCTCATGGTCTCCGGACTACATGGTCTCCGGATCATGCAGGTTTGGGCAAGCTGCAGCTTGCCGTTTCCTAACCACAGACCCCGGTCTGCTGGTTGGGCGTGGGCACGCCTGCCACGCCATGCACGCACTGCATGCCTTTGCAAGGACACGCATTGTTTTGCCTTTAAGTTTCACGGGGGGTCAACGCACCTCCTGCTCCAGGCGCACCCGTGCCCTGGAAGCAGTGCTACTTTCAGCAATCCCGGTAAAAAGAACTGCGGCCGCCTCGGACTTGCATTGTTCTTTTGGAGCAGTGCAACATGCCTTAACACTTCAGGAAGGTCGCTCCCGTCGGGACTCCTTGAGGCAGCTCTGCCACCTGTCCCTCACATCGCCGTAGTCGCCCCAAATGCGGCTCGACCGCAAAGACAGCTCGTTAACGCACCTCTTCTCGAATTCCTCCCAGGCCGCCCAGGCCTCGGAATCCCTTTCCATCGCAAGGCAGGCGTTCTGCCTGGGTCCCTGGTCCTCGCCGAAGCTGCTGGGCTCCCAGAGGACGTGAGTCCACGCGGACTGCCAGACGATGGCGCCCTTGGGGCTCGTTTGCACCTCGCCCAGGGCGACGCTAGTGGCGATGGTAGTCATCTTGACTCTTGCTTGCCGGTCCTTTTCCTATAGGGCGGACAACAAAATGGTCCGACCAAAGCGACGACGGCCCTGGCTCAAGCGGCTCGAGAGCCGCCATTTCCGGAAAAAAACACGTTTTTGTCTGCTTTTCCGTAAATTCAGTTTTGCATGGTTTTTGAGCGTGATTTTGCATGACAGGTTGCCGGTGTTGCGTTTTTCTCACGATTTTCACGTTGTCGGTCGTGTTTGGAAAGAGCTTCCCCAAACACGTGAGCCTTGTGAAGGCGAGATTCGGATCGGGGACACTCTGGGGTACGGGGCGGCAGGGAACCGCTCGCGGGTGCAAAGGCGTGGTTTCAGACTCACAATTTTTCTTGACCTCACGTGCCCTGTGCCCAGACTTCGACGTGCAGATCTTCTCGCAGCGCCGCGAGTTGCCTTTTTGTTACTTTTTGTTGGCCGCTTGCAGGTGGATCCAATTCGTGCTACTGGGGACTCTTTGGCTGGGCACCTGTGCGGATTGGTGTCAACTCGTTGAGCAGTGTTTCAGGTTTGGTCCTGGATTTTGAAGGTCGTGTTTTCGCGCTTAACCGGCAGGCTTTGTTTTGACATCGAGGCATACTGCCCGGGCCTTCGCTGCTTCCGTTGTCATGGCCATCAATGCCAACTGATCTTTGAGGTTTGGGTCCCAACTCGCCAATCTGTCAGGCCCCCTGATCTTTGGCCTAGCGAGGCCCGGACACCCCCCCCCGTCCCGTGCCAGGATTTGCGCGACTCGCGTTGCTTTTTTGCGTGCTTTTCCCAACCCCGTCAAGCCGCGCCGTCAGGCCCGTGTATCTTTGGAAATCGTGACCTCGTTGAGCCAGGCCCGCATTTTGTATTGTCTCTCCAACCTGGTGAACCCATGACCTTGAGAGCGATTGCCCCAACCCCGTCAAGTCGTACTGTCAGGTTTTTTGTAAGTCAGGCAGTGTGGTTTCCTCAAAATCGCTTTTTTTTCCTGGCGCTCAGGCACTCCGAACTTTTGAGCTTGCGCCTCGAGCTCCACGTTCCGCCCGGGCCCTCGCCGCGTTCCATTGTCATGGCCAAGAGGTCCCGTGCAGGTTATTGTCATTTGATCTTTGTCACCAATCTGTCAGCCCCCTTGATCTTTGACCCAGTGAGGCCGTGACGGTCCGTCCCGAGGGTCCCTGGGGTCCCTAGGGTCCCTGGGGTCCCTGGGGTCCCTGGGTCCCTGGGCACGCGTGCGTCCGCTGCAGGTGCCATGAAACAACGTCCTTCCATCAAGACATCTCGCCAGGGTCCCAAAGTGCATCCATCCTTGTCAACACACGGCGTTTTCAGGGATTTTAGGGACCCCAGAAACCTTACGGACCCTAGGGACCTTAGAGAGACCCTAAGGGACCTTAGGGACCCCAGGGACCTTAGGGACCCCAGCAACCCTGGGTCTTGGGGGCAAGAGATCCTGTCAAGTGTGAAGTCATCTCTCAAGCTTCGGTTGGTTGCAGCTTGCCACGCAAGGGGACACAAAGACGCGCGGAAGGGCAAAGCTTCTGTTGTTTTTCCATTCGAGCAACTTTCCATACATCTATTTATCTTCGTGTACTCATATCTATTTATTTTCATACATTTGTATATTCATATCTCTACGTATTTGTATCTCTTTATGAATTTCATACATTTATATCTTTGTATTTCTACAAATTCATATCTTTATATCTTTGTATCTTTATACCTTTCTCTTTATATCTTTATATCTTTATGTCTTTGTGCCTTTATGTTGGTATGTCTCTACATGATGTTTTCTACATCCGTGTTTGTAGTTGGGAGATGATGTTGTGGTTTTGTGGCCCATTTGCAATGTGTGTGTGTGTCTTGGCTTCGGCATTTTGTGTTTTTGCATGACCCTATGATGCTGGAGAATGCCCAGGCTGAGTGGTGCCCGGCGTGAAGTTCTTGCCAAGATCCCTTCAAGCCCCAAAATCCTTGGGGCCACCAAGGATCTCTTGAAGTCCCTGGGTCGCTGGGTCCCTGAAGTCCTCGGAGTCCCTAGGGTCCCTAGGGTAGGGTTTGCAGGGTTGCTAGGGTCCCTAAGGTCTCTAAGGTCCCTAAATTCCCTAAGGTCCCTAAGGTCCCCAAGGTCCCTGAACCCGCCGTGCGTTGACAGGGACGAGCGCACTCTGGGGCCTTGGCGAGGCGTCTGATGCACATGTGTGCAGGGACCCCAGGGACTCTAGGGACCCTAGGGACCTTAGGAGGGACCCAGGGACCCCAGAGGCCCCAGTGATTGCAGGGACCAGGGACCCCAGAAACCCCCGCCCTTCAGCCCCTGGCGGCCCGGTGCCGATTTCGGCTGCTTGTTTTGCAGGCAGGCCAGTTTGGTATCTCGCTTGGACTTTGATGCAGCGGCAGGATGTGGGTCAGCCAGTCTGAAGGATGGACGCTGCGAAGCCTTGCAAGGCTTGGCCCGACCGACCTTCAGGCCGCGAGTGAAAAGGAGGAGGAGCATCCAACCCGTGCGTTGGTGTTGCCAAAGAAGCCAGTCAATCTTGTGTTTGCTCTGGAAACTTGGCTCGAGGGTACTCATCAACACTGACACAACAACAGCTCGCAAGGTTGCCCGATGGGTCTAGCGCCAGTGCTTGAGGAATCGCAGGCCGCTCAAGCGCTTTTCGAATAGCCATGGCGATGATGCGGACCAGGACCAAAAGCCGAGGCTGGCAAGCTTGTGACGCTTCCGTGCCCGCGGTAGGCAGCGGCCAGGTATGTGCCTCTGCCTTCTCGGGATTGCATTGGCGCTGCTCGTGCAGCCGAGCACGGCCTGGGTCTTGGGACACATTTTTTTTGAAGGTTTTCGGGTTTCAGGAGTCCCTTGTCGCCGCCGCCCAGGACTTTGCTCGAGGAGTTCCTGGGCTGAAGGAGCATGAAGTCCCTCCTTTGGATGTTCTTGTTTCGTGCTGAGTGCCAGGACAGCATATTGGCCCAGTTCTCAGAGTTGCCCGCAGGCGCAAGCAGATTGCACTTTGGCTCTTTCAGGCAAAACGGCACCCGTTGCATGCCGGAGTCGCTCGGCGCGCCGGGGCTGCGCAAGAGGACTCCTCCGACCCGAAGCCTGTAGGCATCTTTTGCCGGTTGCCGCCAGGACAACAGTGGCCAGGCCTGGGGGACACGTGCATCGGGCTTGAACGTTGGGCTTGTTGGTTGTCAGGACCGGCTCGATCTCGAGGAGGCGGCGGGCCTTCAGAGAAAGCGACGTCCCAGCCTTGTCTCGCTCAGGTGGTCGCAGAAGCCAAACGGGTTGTGGACAACGGCACGCTGAAAGACATGCAAGTGGTCATGCGCCGCTTTAGCAGCACGTCAATACGTTCTTTGTGGATTTGCAGGCGCGGTTGAGCTCAGGAAGAGTGCAGCTGGTAGATCCAGCAGGGAAGTGGAAGGTTTGGGTTAATGAGCCCGAATTGGAGAAGCAGCTACGGAAGTTTGTGGCAGAGGCAGCAGTGTTTGCTTCCTTTACCAACAGGTCAGATTCAGAAGCGCTTTCGTGACATTTTCAAAATGCACGTTTGTTGTGGGTGCTTTTCAGGCCAAAGCAGCCAAAACGGCATTGGAGGAGGCCGTCCGTTCGAGCGCGTTCGAGCGCTCGGCGTGGGAGTCGGCCTGGGCAGGACCTGCTCCTGGCGCGACAGCAGCGGAAGACGGGCCAGCGGCAGGTTGAGAGCGCCCAGCGGCAGGTTGAAAGCGCTCAGCGGCAGGTTGAGAGCGCCCAGCGGCAGGTTGAGAGCGCCCAGCGGCAGGTTGAGAGCGCCCAGCGGCAGGTTGAGAGCGCCCAGGAGCAGGAAGCGATGGCGGTGAGGCGTCTCGCTCGAGCTGCCACCGTCTTGGAGACGGCGGAGGACTCGGGCAATGCGACAAAGGTGCAGGAGGCGAAGAAGGAGGTCCAGGAGGCGAAGAAGGAGGTCCAGGAGGCGAAGAAGGAGGTCCAGGAGGCGAAGAAGGAGGTCCAGGAGGCGGAGAGGAAGGTCCAGGAAGCGAAGAAGGAGGAGGCGAAGGCAAGCGGCCGGACGAAGGAGTCCGAGGCGGGCGGAGTCGGTCGCTTCCGCCGGCCGGCTGCGTTCTGGGACTCTGATCGTTGCGTGCGGTTCTGAAATTCCCCGCGCGGCCCGCACATGGGTTTGGTGGGGCTGCCCTGATCGCATCCAGAGAACCAGGAAATCCCAAGATAGCATTTTTGCAGATTGCGGCGGTTCGTGTCGTTGGCAGGCTCGGTAGGGACCCCCCATGAACGGATGGTTGCCTTTCCTTGTTGGAGGTCGGGGTTTAAAGCTGGTCGACATTGATTGAGACGTGCCGTTGATCGTTGTGAGTGATTTTGTGCTTGCCCCCAGCCTGCTTTTGAAAGAGCAAGACCTGCCCGTCTGCCGGGGAGAGGGAGGGCAAACTCTGATGTCTTTGCACCCATTGGGGCCCTTGCTGCTGCAGGCACAAGTGCATTCTATGAATGTTCTCTTTGATGCAGTGAGCTCAACCATTCCCGGCTTTGCATCCACTCGCAGTGTTCTTGCTCGATGTTTTGCCCGTTTTGCTGCCATTCCATCCCGTTCTGTTGTTCATTTTTCTCCGTACCTGTTCATATCTGCCTGATTTGGCGTGAGTGTTTAGCGCAAAACTATCAAACAGTCGAGGGGAACCCGCAAATATTGAAGAGCCTGCTGTTCCAGTCGCCTGCCTTTTGAAGAGCAAGACCTACCCTTCTGCCATGGTCGTTGCTGCTGCAGACACAATGCAATCCGAAGGTTAATTTTGTTCCGACAGCACGAGCATGGAGGAGATTGCTAAAGTGTGCACAATGTATTTCTGCTGCCGGGTGACGTTGAGACGTGCCGTTTGACGTTTTGTGTGGTTTTGATTTCCCCCGCGGAAATGCTTTCAGTGGGGCTGCCCTGATCACATCCACAGAACCTCAACATATTTGACGCCACTCTCCCCCCTCATCAACCTTGTCGGGGTTCCTGGGAACTCAGTGGTTTTGCTCAGCGTGGAGCCCCACAAAAGGATTGTTGAGCTGAACCACGCATCTCCCGCTTTGCTTTCATGGGCAGTGTTCCTGCTGGAAATTTGGTTTTGTTTCGGTTTTGGTACCCTTGTGTTCCTTGCTTTCCTAGTGCTCGGCTTTCGCACTAAGTACGGTCCACCTTTTTTACTTTTTGGGGTCATGCTCTCCTCTCAGCAACGGTCCCCTCGTCGTTAAGCTTCAGTGTTTTGGCTTGCAGAGGGCTCTTGGCTGCTTTAGGTTCATGCAAATCTGGTTGCTCTTTGTGTTTGGCTGATGCTTCAGAACGGGGTGTCAGTCCTAGGTTCGAGGTGGGGAGGTCAGCCTGTTTTGCGCTCGCTTTGCGCTCGCTCTCCAGGTTGCGGTTGCTTTTGTTTGAGGCTCGACTTTAAGGTTACTGTGGGGGGGTCAAGCGAGTCAACCCTGAGTTCTTAGTGCTTGCCTTCAGCGCGCGGACCTTGAGAGCAGGGGGGTTCTGGAAGGGCTTCTGCGTGGGCATGTTGCCTTCGGTTTGTAGCACTCCTGCTTGTCCGGGGCTCTTGGTCGTCGTGCGTTTTCATGCGGTCCACCGTTGTTGCTTTTTGGCGTGATGCTTTCCTCTCAGCAAGGATCCCCTCGTCGTTAGGGTGTCTGCACTGTGTTGGCTTGCAGCAGTTCGGGGAGTGGGAGAGGCTTTCGGAGCGACGGCTCTTGGCGGTTCACAAAATCTGGTTGCACCCGTTCGTTTTGTCGAGTGGGAGGCACCTTTGCGGCTCAGGCAAAGGTTTCCTGCAAATCTGTTGCACCCGAATGCGGAGGGGTATCCTGTTTTCTCAACCCTGCGTTCATTCAGTCAAACTGGAGGTGAGAGAGGATGCGTTGCTCTCAGGCTACGGTTGTTTGTGCGCGGGAGGCTGTGGTTATGCATCTGTGTTTGTGTGCTTGGCCACCCTGCTGTCGCGATATGCTCGGTGGCCTTCTTGGTTTGTCGGGGTTGGGCTGTGGGCACAACCTTCGAGGTCAGACTGTGCGGGCTGTTGTTTAGCTTCAGCTTTGCAGCTGAGCTGCAATCTGGGAATGGATACCAGGCAGACTGGTTGTCGGGATTGGCTTTGGGAGCGGGTCAGGCAACCAAGACAAGTTCATTGTTTTGGGGTGCAGGGCTTAGGCCGTCGGGAGGCGTCTCCAGCTTTGTTGTGCGCAGGCGTCCGCCTCGAGTAGCCTCAAGTGGGTCGTGGACGCCAAGGACACGGCATTTGCCAACGAGCTGCGCATGGCTCAGCCGCTGACGGCTCTGGACTGCGCTGATGAGAATTTCACCGACGTAGAGTCCGCAGAAGATGCCGGTATCGAGATCTTCCCGTTGAACGCCAGCTTGGATCCGAAAGAAGCCAAGCCATGGCTCTTCGTTCGAAAGCAGCAACGAGAGGTCTGGCAGGCGGCCTTCAATGCGTCGCAGGATGTGGTGGTGACCGGCTCGCCCGGCATCGGCAAATCCTTCTCCATGTCCTTCTTGTTCCGCGACCTCATGAAAGCAAAGAAGACCTTTGTCTTCGAAGCACGCAGGTGGAACATGGTGTACTTGTTCAAGCCGCGCACCGACGGCACCTACGAGGTCGGCAGCATGCAACTGGAAGACTGGAAACCGGCAGCGTGTGACGAGCTGAGAGTCCCTGCGAACTACTATGTCATCGACCCCGGCGAGGCTGAAAAGGGAGGCGTCTGCTTCGTAGCGGCCAAGACTGTCATTTGCCCGTCACCGGATCCGCAGCACCTTGGAGAGTTCAAGAAGCTCCCCAAATGCAAACTGTACATGGCAGCTTGCTCCTTGCAGGAGGCCCAGTGCATAGTCAAGTACCTCCGCCCCAACTTCGACCAGAACCAGGTGGAAGAGCTCTACAGGCGATTTGGTGGTATTCTTCGACACCTGATTGGCGACCCTAAGGAGGTGGAGATGGCTCGCAATGCAACCCTGTCGAACCAGAACTTGGTCAGGCAAGTTTGGACATCGGGCATCATTGATCAGGGACGTGATTTGAAGCCTGCGCACTGGCTCTTCCAGATAGTGCCGGAAAACGGTTGCACCAGCAGCAGGGGTGAGTTTGTTAGCGAAGAGGCACTCGACCTCACCATTCACGAGTATGAGGCGGAGCTGGCTGACCTTTTGACATCGTTTGATCCGCTTGCAAAGCCCGTCCTCGGAGTTCTCTACGAACGCTTCGCCCACCAAGTGCTCTGCCGGGGGACGTTGCTGCTGACGCGGCTGGCCAACGTCACCGTTCCCATGTTCGAGATGCGGCTTCCACCACTCGATGAAGAGGTGGTGGACGGCAGCATCGCCGATCTTTTCACAGCTGCCACCACTGGGCAGCTACGATACATGCGGCCCAGAGATGTGGGCCTGCCGGTCATTGATTCATGCCTGGCTCCTGTTGAGGACCCGAACAGCATGTGTTCTGTCAAAGTGCCTGCGCTGGTGTGCAGTGCTTGCGTTTTGTGCCCCTGGTTTTTCCCATACCCCTAAGGACGGCGTGATGACATGCTTCCAGATCACCGTCAGCGCAAAACACTCCCTGGATCTTGTCGCCTTGGAGAATGCTGCACGGGGTCTTGACATCGCCAAGATTGTTATTTACTGGGTCGTTCCCAGAGACAGCCTTCGAGAGTTCAACCGCAAGCAGACGTTCGGGCCTCAACTTGTATTCGAGCAGCGCGTCCTTTCGCTCGCTGCTCCCCGCAATCCCTTTACCGAGCAGGAGATGCAAGAACGGTTGCAGAAGGCTGAGCTCTCTAAGCTTACCACAGGAGACGAGCAGCTCCTCAAGCAAGAGATTGATGACCAGAAGCTCCGGTACTTGGTTATGAAATCTTTCGAAGAACAAGATGTCAAGGACATAATGAATAAGGTGTTAAAAGAAGGGAAAAGAGCGAAAAACCAGGATCCCGTGGCTCTGCGCGCAGCACGAGCTTGGGATAAGATTGTTGCCTGTATGGCTTGGACGAAAAAGAGAGGCGAGTGCAAGCTTGCAGCGTAGGTGCCAGCCTAATCTGCAGTGTCGATCACGTTGCCAGGCCTGATCAGCCCGGGCGTGCACTTTTGCTTGGCCGGATTTTGCGTTACTCGACGAAAAGCGTGTGCCCCACAGTTGGCCGGTGGATTTGCTTTCCACTGCTTTAGAACAGCGCGAATCATGATTTCATGTCGCATATCTTTATCTTGACATTCAGCGCACTCAGGCTCTCGACACATGGAGTTTTTGCATAGAGTTTGCTGCAAGCTGGACCATCACACTGACACGACAATGCAGCACTCATCGTCAGAATATCGCTCTTTCGGTTCAAGTCTGCAGCACACATCTGCGTGTTGGAGTTCCGGTTCGAGTCGGCGCGCATCGGTGAAATTTCGGCTAGTCTTTTGGAATCTTTCTGGAATCTTTCGACTCTATGTGTTGAGTCTTTGTAGAGTATCTGTGCAAAACACAGTCTTTTTGAAGTCTTTGTATTTCTCGAGTCTAGCACTCATCATTTGACGGCTGTGGCGCTTTCCGAGTCGAATCTTATGAGGACGACCCGCCCAAAGCCGTAGTGGAAGTCTAACCTTCAAAACTCCACCCCGCCAGGCCGCACTATGGCCCAAAAGATTTTGCGAGCTTTTTTCGCGCACTTTTGGGCCTTCTAGAAGCCAGCGCTGGGGCTGCAGGGCCGCGTTTGGGAAAGGGTTGGAGCCGGGGCGGGGCGGAAGGACTTACCCCGGGAACGAAACAGCCGGGGGGCACGCTGCAACGGGGGTAGTTTGGAAAGCCAAACATAAGACAGAGGGGGGGGGGCTCCACCCTCCCTCAACCCCCCCCGCAGGGAAGGCTGCGCTCCCCCTCAACCTCTCCGCTTTTTTTATAAGCCGAACACGTACGCGGTCAAATTCGAAATTGATTCTTCTGGCTTATACTACTGCCAAAAATGAGGATGCTCTTCACTGCGCTACTACTCCCTCTTTGACTTAACTGATCTTCCATTTGCTTAAACAGGTTCATGGAGGTGTGAAAGTTACCAAAAAAAACTAATCTTTTCTCTTGCTTAAGGAGGTCTAAGATGAAATCCCCTTAAAACCACCATTAAGCTAACTCTCTTTAACAACTCTTTTTCTTTCTCGCTTACTGACATCAATAAAAGAGGGCGTGATTTTCATATTTTCGCTTTACGATGTTTTAAAGAGGGCAGATTTTCATAACAAGCTTCCTTCTCTTAGGCACTTCTTGAGTCTTTCGAAAAGCCCACAAGACACTAACTCCCTTCAAGTTCTCCTCTCAAGTTCTCAACTCTCTAAGCTTCTTCCATCAGTTTCCCCTAAAGCGGTCCCTAATTCTCTTTAAGCCATCTTTTAAGCCTTCTTAAGTTCCATCAAACCTGCTAAAAAAGAATGCGGCTTGAAGGAAGCTTTAGAAGAGAGTTGAAGGGGAACTTGAGAAAGAAGACTTCTCAAAATTGAATTCGAGGAAGGTTAGAGGGTTCAGCCATGGCCCTAGCGTGGCAAAACTTTGTCAGGATGACTCCCAATGGATTTACATTTGCTGGTGTGTGTCGCAGGGTTTCCCTCCCGTGGCAAAACCCCGTCCATGAGCTGGACTATGCCCGACAGAAATTCCTGGCCACTGCAATCGATGACACCGAAAAAGATGAACTGACAGACTTGCTTGGCGAGGTCCGATCTGTGCCATTGATGGCATACACAGCAGCAGTGTGGAAGGACGAACAGTCCAAGATTGACACGCAAAAACGAGTAAACATGAAGTTGAGAGATGAGTTTGTGACGGAGATGACCCCTTTGCTGGGGGACCCAAGTTGGTCCAATCCACAACGTTTGCAGTACATCCGAGACTTGGCCATTGGTCAGGCAACCTCTGACCCAGCAGACTTTTTTGATGAGACCGTGTACGACTGCTTCTTCAAGCCATATATTTATGAGGCAGACGGCAAGTTTTCCTTTGCAAGCAACCCGTGGACTGTTTGCGTAGCATACTGCGTAGACGCGAGCGGGACACTGCTGAAACAAAACAAGATGTTCCACATGTCATGTCATGCAAAAACAAGCTGTTCCACGTGTCATGCCATGCAAAAAAACAAGCTGTTCCACGTGTCATGTCATGCAAAAAACACAATGCAAAACCGTGCAAAAACAAGCTGTTCCACATGTCATGCAAAAACCATGCAAAATGCGGCGCGTACGTTGGCGTAGCGTCGGCGCGTACGTTGGCGTGGCGTCTATGCCGGGCAGGTGGCGCGGCCGGGCTTCTATGCCAGGCAGGCGCGGCAGGGTGGCGCACCCGGAGTGCCCAACCGCCACCGTATGACCGTATGATCCGTATGATCCGTATGACTCGGCGGGCTGGCGTGTCAGGCGCGGCTGGAAACAGGCACCAACCATTTTTGGTTGCTGCCCGCGTGGAGTTCCGCGTGGAGTTCCCCTCAATCCTGGGGCCACAACAGGATTGAAGGGAGCAATCCTGGGGCCACAACAGGATTGAAGGGAGCAATCCTGGGGCCACAACAGGATTGAAGGGAGCAATCCTGGGGCCACAACAGGATTGAATCCAAGAACATGTTCATCCGACATGTAGTCCGACATGTTGAAGAAATTAAGCGTATAGCAAGGAATCCTGGGGGAATTTCAATGCAGGGATACTGCAGGGAATCCCTGCATTACCGGTATCTCTCTCTTTAGAGGGGGTTTCCCAAATGGCTTATATTCTACCTGAGAGGCTCCCAGCACTCGTCCGTCCAGCATTTGACCTCGTCCTGCGAAGGATGCGAAGTCTAAAACGCTGCGTGGAGGCGTGTGGCTGCAAAATAGAGACCCCTAGATATGCGCCGCAATTTGGCTCCAGGTTGCATTTCAAGCGATGTCAAGCTTTGCCAAAGGAAACCCCTTTTCCCTTTTTTTCGGGGACCCCTTTTTTTGGGACCCCTTGTTTTATTTTTTTTGTTTTTTTCTTAGCCCTGCAAAGGTTGGCTCGCTTGAAATGCAACCTGGAGCCAAATTGCAAGCATATCTAGGGGTCTCTATTTTGCAGCCACACGCCTCCACGCAGCGTTTTAGACTTCGAATCCTTCGCAGGACGAGGTCAAATGCTGGACGGACGAGTGCTAGAAGCCTCTCAGGTAGAATATAAGCCATTTGGGAAACCCCCTCTAAAGAGAGAGGCGGGCTTCCCGACAGAGCGCGTGCCCAAGATGCCCCTCAGTGGCGTCAGCACTCGTTCGGGCGACCTGGCTCGGTTCACTTTCAAGGCGCTCGACGGCACGATGACGGATGTGTTCCCATCCATGCCACCTTATAAATCAATTAAATACAAGGATGGCCTTTATTGCGCTTCGTGGTTAGCCTCCAAATCAGCTGGTGGGATGGGTGACGCTCTCTGGCACAACATCCAACAGAAGCACAGAAGGACACGTGAATCAGAAGAGGAGCTCTCCTGGCTTGACTAGTAAGGGTCCAATAGCCACTTGGAAGGTAGAGCAGACAGTCAGCTAAAGAGCTTCGCTCTGAACTCTGAAGACACACAGTGAGGGAAAAGCGTGCAGGTGAGTGACCGCAATCACCCACAGTAAAACTTATATAGCCAGGATAAGCTCGATCCTTCCCGCACCCCCGGGCGCGGATCATTATTTCGGGTGAGTGCCTTTTTGGGAATTCATTTTCCTCCCTCTACCCGAGCCGCCGAGAGACGGATCTTTCCGCCTCCAACCCGGTGAGCGCCTCTCCTGGGAACAAGAAATCCCCGAGACGGATCTTCCCGCCTCCAGCCCGGTGAGCGCCTCTCCTTAAGAGACTGTAATAATTCCCAGGTCCGAGACGGATCTTATTGCCTCCAGCCCGGTGAGCGCCTCTCCTTAAAAGACTTTATTTCCCCGGTCCGAGACGGATCTTATTGCCTCCAGCCCGGTGAGCGCCTCTCCTGGGAGCGAGAAATCCCCGAGACGGATCATTGTGGAGAGACGGATCATTGTGGAGAGACGGATCTTCCCGCCTCCAGCCCGGTGAGCGCCTCTCCTTAAAAGACTTTAATTCCCAGGTCCGAGACGGATCTTATTGCCTCCAGGCCGGTGAGCGCCTCTCCTGGGAGCGAGAAATCCCCGAGACGGATCATTGTGGAGAGACGGATCATTGTGGAGAGACGGATCTTACCGCCTCCAGCCCGGTGAGCGCCTCTCCTTAAAAGACTTTAATTCCCAGGTCCGAGACGGATCTTATTGCCTCCAGCCCGGTGAGCGCCTCTCCTGGGAGCGAGAAATCCCCGAGACGGATCATTGTGGAGAGACGGATCATGGTGGAGAGACGGATCTTCCCGCCTCCAGCCCGGTGAGCGCCTCTCCTTAAAAGACTTTAATTCCCAGGTCCGAGACGGATCTTATTGCCTCTCCTGGGAGCGAGAAATCCCCGAGACGGATCATTGTGGAGAGACGGATCATTGTGGAGAGACGGATCTTCCCGCCTCCAGCCCGGTGAGCGCCTCTCCTTAAAAGACTTTAATTCCCAGGTCCGAGACGGATCTTATTGCCTCCTGGAGAGACGGATCATTGTGGAAAGACGGATCTTCCCGCCTCCAGCCCAGTGAGCGCCTCTCCTTGGGAAAGTATTTCCCCAGGCCCGAGACGGTTCTTTCCGCCTCCAGTGAGCGCCCTGGCGGGCTAGCTCGAATTTGCATGGTTTGACATTATTTTGCTTGATTTTCGCATGACAAGGTTTTGCACGGATTTTAACATGATTTTGCTTGATTTTCGCATGACAAGGTTTTGCACGGATTTTGACATGATTTTGCTTGATTTTCACATGACACGATCTTGCACGGTTTTGACATGATTTTCGCATGACATGGTTTTACATGCTTGGAATCACCCCCCCAACACGTCCCCCCCCTGAGTTTTTTCCTGTCAGGCTGTCGTACGTGTCAGGTCCTGGAGAACTTCGTGGGGTGGGAGGCGGGGCAGTGCCGAGCGGGCACTTGTAACTAGACGTGCCGAGCAGGCACAGTGCCGAGCGGGCACTTGTAACTAGACGTGCCGAGCAGGCACAGTGCCGAGCAGGCACTTGTAACTAGACGTGCCGAGCAGGCACAGTGCCGAGCGGGCA